AAAAAAAAAAACAATGAATTTTATGCAAAAATATATATTGTTTCGACATTCCCTTCGGCAGACATTTCTCAAGATGAGAATAAATCGATTCGTGCGATCGTACCGCAGTGCTTTCGCAAGATCCATCAAAGCAACATGTATCGCGACGGACGGTTTTCGTACGTCTATCAAAACTTTGATAATACTGAGGTCGGAGAAAGAGGTAGCAGTTGGTCTACGGGTCGGCAAAGAGGGTGCAAAGGGGGAAACGCGGAGGTAGAGGGCTCGGGAAGAGGGATCGAGGGACCAAGAGATGTGGGTCGGTGATCGATTGCGCCGGTACATGCACAATAACCGAGGGATGGAGTCATGTATCCGGGCTAAACAGCCCATTTGCCCGGTACAATGGAAGCGACGTCGCTGTGGGCCTGACTTAATTACCAGAGGCTGCCTTTGGCAGGCAGAAGCAGGGAGACGGGCGGCGAAGCTTTATCAGAAGCGCCTTATACAGCCGAGCTTCGTTTAATGGCTGCGCAAGAATGCGAATTTGGCGACATGCCTAGGAATCTAATCTAAGAAGCTATCTCGGAGCCGCCTCTTAAACGCCGCGTTAGTGATACTCGAGCGATTATGAATCACGTTAGCTATTATTACGGGTTACACGCTCACACTGATTTACTATCGCCAAACTATTACTATGCTACCGAACGTTCAAATCATTCGCCTTGAAATACGGACGAAGTAGGAAATCGCGATTGTAAAGTTTTTCGCTGTTCAAGTTACGGGAGATTCTTTTTTTCGCGCGAAAGGCAAGAAATATCTCGAGGAGCTCAGAATCGACTCAAAGTCGAGAAAAATGCGTTCCTTATAAAGGAGCCGCCCGTAACGGAGTTACGCGGCGCGGATTGTGTAAACCACTTTCGTCCTTGTCTCCTGCATAACGCGCATGATGCATCGCGACACGAGCGGGCTCCATTTTCCGAGGAAACAAAACAGTTTCCCGATAGTTTCCGGGAGCGCGCGAAAACGAAGGAAGCACTTCGCCATTAGTCTGCGCGAAACTGTTGGTATGTATCATTCTGTAACGAGGGCAAATTGCGAATCCGCGCTATACTTACCGGAGTTTTCATAAAGTTCGCCGGGCGGGAGAGGCCACTGCATTAGACGAAAGACACCTGGAACACAAAACGAAAAGAACACCTTTAACTCGCGCGGAAACTACGTTAGCAAGAGAAACTTCAAGTTACGAGGCGTCTCAAATCTCGGCAATTAGCCGGACTATCGCGACGCTCATCTTCTCGACGAGATAAATCATTAGCTAATTGCAGCTTGTTTATTAGATACCCGTTATTTCGGAATATTGGTAAAAAAAAATATCGTGGAATCAATGCTATTCTTGAAACTTTCGAGGCAACATGCTACTTTTCCTCGGCGTTTTTAAATATGAGGGAAGATAAATTAAACATATCTAAATTTGTAAAATCAAACTTTCTCTCAAATGCACAGAATATAACAGTCGAGATAAAATCAAATTTAATCTCATTATAATATATTTGAAAGTCAATTAAATTTAATTTTTAAATTAACAATGAAGAAATTTTCTATATTAGATTCTCCATCTATTAAAGTCCTTCGCACACAGAGAAAATAACGCAGTAAAAATTATAATGAAATTTTTATCACTCTATAATATATAGTGATGTGATTATAAATTATATTATTAATATTTTTATTAAATGCTGAATACATTTTATATTTTAAGAAAAATTATTATAATTATTCGGATATTTAATATATAATTCAAAACAATTAAATTTTTTTGAAAAAAAGAACAAAATTTATACAATATGAGTGCAGTTGTTTTTGCACAAATTATATGACTTATTAACGTATTTCTACTAATAAAATTAATAAAATACATATGTATAATTATAAACATAATATAATTATAATCATAAACATTTACGATAATAAACAGTATATCACACTCCAACTTTGGATACATGTAAATATATTTTTTATGCAATTTATTCTACTTCTCCGAAATCATCTCAATGAAAATCGCAATTCTCGAGATTTTTTACGAACATATTGCGAATGAAGTTTCATGTCTAATAGCAATGACATTCCACGCGAAATGATCTCTGATGAAATGATTTCGTACTACACTAAAAGGGACCACGTGTCTCTTTGATGTTGGTTACTCTGGAGTCGAAGGGACAAGAACGAGGTAATTCTAAGATGCACGACAGCGCGAGTCCGAGGAGAAGTCC